GGGGGGGGATGAGGAGGGGTGGTTGGGCCGCGGGTGGTGGTGGTCGCGCCTGAGGACATGCAGCAGTTGAGGGGGTTAGGGGAGGGAGAGGGTGAAGGGAGTGAGGCGTTTGGGTGAAAGGGGTCAATGAGGTGCTTGCATGTGGCGTAAAGCCGCACAGTCGTGCGGTGGGTGCAGAAACAGCCCCAGAGATAAGGGAAGGGGGGGGGAAGGGGGGAGTGTTTTTCGAGTGCGCGCCGGACTGGAATAGGCCGTGCGGCTGATCGGCATTCAAGGGCGGGCTGCAGGCGGCTCCAGGCGGCCCCAGGCGGCTCCAGGAAGTATTCATGAGGCGTGGCGCGGGTCATAGGCACGGCCCGGACTGTATCGCGATGGTCAAAGGCGGCGGAACGAAACGCACACGTCTCACAGTAAGTGGGTACGGGAAAGAAAAAAAAAAGGTTCCCATTCAAAGAGATTTCATTTTACTTTCCACAGCAGTAGGGCCGTTGAGTTCCGCGAAGAAAACCCTGATCTGCACAGTTACGCGCCGTGCTCTTTTTTCTACTCAAAACCCCGTCGTCGTTGTCGTTCGGGCCTGGCTGGAGCATGGGGTGGCCTCCACGCCGCCTGGCGCTCCATGGGTAGGCAACCCGTCCGCGTGCCTGTCGTGCGGGCCCGGGGCCTTGCCTACCTCCACGGCGCCCGCCGCTCCAGAGCTCCTAGAAAGAAGAAAAGTGTCCTCCTGCGCCTTGGCGCGCCCATAGGGCGACGACGCCGGTGCGGCGTATATATATAACGTCGGGTGTCGCGAGGTGCGGGGCGGGCCGGGGCGGCCGGGGATGTATCTTGCGGCCTTACCCTGCGTGCCGCCGGCGGGCTCTGTAATTTAGGAGAGGGAGGGGGCGGCTCCTGGGGGATCAGGGGCACAGCCGGGCGGAGCGGCCCCGCCGGCACCTGCGGGGGAACCAGCACAGGGGGAACCCGCCGCCCGCGCCCAACCCGCCGGGCCCTCCCCTATATAGCCTTCACCGGAAACAAAGAGGCGGGAGGAGGGGGAGCAGCAGCGGCGGCGGGCAGGCGAGCAACGCTTCATTTATGGTGTAGACCCATTTACCTTGAGCTCTATAGAGTGTGTATTATACCAGGGGAGAGGGGG